CAGAAATTTAATACTAAACAAACACAGTGAAATTTTTTTTTTTTCGTTAGGTTCAGAATGATTTTGGCGAAATTTTTGCATTCAAAAAATTTTAAAACTTGTCCTATTGGCAAATGAACGTTGCTATTTAAGCCAAGATCGCAAGTTCTGCCTATTCGGCACGACATATATATATATATATATATATATATATATAAAATATATATATATATATATATATATTATATATATATAATATATATTTATATATATATATATTATATATAGTAATTCAACAAGTCGGCCGTGCCCCACCGAAGCAGGGTGACCCAAAGAGAAAGAAAATCCCCCAAAAGAAATACTTTCATCATCATTCAACACTTTCACCACACTCACACATAATCACGTTTTTTGCGAGGTGCTCAGATTGCAACTTTTAGAAGTATATGCGTATAAAATACACAATATATCACTCCAAACTGCCAATACCCCTAACCCCTTCTTTAGAGTGCGGGCATTGTACTTCCCATTTTCCATAAACTCAAGTCCGGTTATATAAAATAAACCGGTTTCCTGAATCCCTTTACTAAATATTACCCTGCTCACATCCAACAGATCGTCAGGTCCCAAATACCATTTGTCTCCATTCACTCCTATCTAACACGCTAACGCACGTTGCTGGAAGTCCAAACCCTGGCCCACACCTCCTTTACCGCCTCCCTCCAACGTTTTCGAGGACGATCCCTACCCGGCCTTCCTTTCCCTACAGATTTATACGCTCTCCATGTCATTCTACTTTGATCCATTCTCTCTAAATGACCAAACCAACCTCAACAACCCCTCTTCAGCCCTTGCCCAAATATTTTTATTAACTCCACACTCCTAATTTCGACACTCCGAATTTTCTGCATAATTTTTACACCAACATTGCCCTTATACAGGACATCTCCACGCCTCAAACCTCTACTCGCTGCAGCATTTACAACCCAAGCTTCACACCCATATAAAGTGTTGGTACTACTATACTTTCAACATTCCCTCTTTGACCCCATAGATAAAATTTTTTGCCTCCACATATACCTCAATGCACCACTCACCTTTTTTCCTTCATCATTCATGTTTAAAACCTCACCCTTTCATAAATCCATTCGCTGACACGTCAACTCCCAGATATCTAAAAACATTCACTTCTTCCATACCCTTCCTCCCCAATTTGATATCCAATTTTTCTTTTTCTGAATAATTTGATACTCTCATCACCTTACTCTTTTCTATGTTCACTTTCAACTTTCTACCTTTACACACACACTCCCAAATTCGTCCACAACTTTTGAAATTTTTTTCTTTAGAACTCCCATAAGCACATTATCATCAGCAAAAAGCAACTGTGCCCAATTCCCATTTTGTATTTGATTCCCCACAATTAATCCCACCCCTCCGAACAACCCTAGCATTTCTTTGCAACCCCATCTTTAAATATATTAAACAACTATGGTGACATTACACATCTCTGTCTAAAAACCTACTTTTTACCGGGAAGTAGTCTCCCTCTCTTCTACACACCCTAACCTGAGCCTCACTATCCTCATAAAAACTCTTTACAGCATTTAGTAATTTACCACCTATTCCATATACTTGCAACATCTGCCACATTGGTTCCCTATCCACTCAAATCATATCCCTTTCTAAATCCATTAAAACAATAAAAACTTCTCTCCCTTTATCTAAATACTGCTCACATATATGCTTCAATGTAAACACTTGATCTACACATCCCCTACCCACTCTAAAACCTCCTTGCTCATCCGCAATTCTACATTCTGTTTACCCTAATTCTTTTAATAATAACCCTACCGTACACTTTTCCTGGTATACTCATAACTTATTCCTCTAAAATTTTTACAATCTCTTTTGTCCCCCTTCCCTTTATATAAAGGGGACTATACATGCTTTCCGCCAATCCTAGGTACCTTCCCCTCTTTCATACATTTATTAAACAAAAATACCAACCACTCCAACACTATGTCTCCCCCTGTTTTTAACATTTCTGTCATGATCCGTCAGTTCCACTGTTTTTACCCCCTTTCATTCTACATAATGCCTCACGCACCTCCCCAAACCACATCCTGCTCTTCTTCACTCCTAAAAGATGGTATACCCCCCTGGCCGTGCATGAAATTACCGCCTCCTTTCTTCGTCGACATTTAAAAGTTCCTCAAAAATTCTCGCCATCTACCCAAAACTCCATCTCCCCATTACTAACCCCCCTTCTGTTTTTAACTGACAAATCCATTATTCCCTAGGCTTTGTTAACTTGTTTAACTCACTCCAAATTTTTTTCTTATTTTCAAAAAAAATTTCTTGACAGTACTCTCCCACTCTATCATCCACACTCCTTTGCACTCACCCACCACTCTCTTCACCTTTCTTTTACTCTCCATATACTCTACTCTTCTTATAACACTTCTACTTGTGTAAATACCTCTCGTAAGCTACCTTTTTCTCTTTTATCACACCCTTT